TAAAATTATTCGGCAACCCCCGTTCCCCTCGCCTCCCGCCACGCCCCCGAAGGTACCGTCGAACGCTTACCGCGGGGGCCCATCCGACACGTCGTACGGCCTCCGTTCAGATGGTCGTACGACGAGGGCTCCGTACGACGTACAGAGTGTTACACAGGATTATAAAAAGTTGAATGACATCACAAGCAAAGATGTGTATCCCTTCAAGATCCCACATATGTACCTCCGCCTTTCCGTTCGAAAAGACGACAAGTAGTACATATGGAGGTGCAAAGGTACTTTTTGGATTAGGCAAACATTTAAAAGCAGCGCTCGTCATTTCTTTCCCGCGCAACTATGGTCCTTCCTCACTAAAACTGAAATCTCTCCCGGGCTTTCAGTTCCGTCTGTGGCCCCACATTCAATATTCTCAAAAATCCTTGGGATACCCCATTTCACTATTCTTTCAGGGCCTGTTCCACATAATTTATCACTTCGACCGAAATACAGGACAAGGCGTGAGGTTGAACGTCACACGCCACTGTGGCAGGTCTTCTCCCTGGGAGTAGCAATTCTGTTGTGGTCTTCATCTCGGACAGAGGCAGCATTGTACCATCCTTTCCCAATCCTCGCCAACCCCAGGTTGTCGCATCCAGCCTACGACTAACTAGGGGTTGGTCAGAGTTAACCGTTGAGATTACTTTGTAGATCCCCTCCTCATTGCATCCCTCTTTTACTTTGATCTGCAACATTGAAACTCCCAGTGGTGGACTGTTGATTTCATCGCCATGGTCACTACTGTGTTCAATCTCTTCGACTGAGTCCTCCTCTTCCACCTGTATGCATAATAGCTGATTGGAGTACGGTGTCTGTCTCCATTGTTGAAAGCTCCTAGACCACTCCTCCTTGTAGCATATCAGCTTCCAATAGTCAGGGTTCGGTTGTACTTTTTTTATATACCATGTTCCAGGAGGGTCAACAGCATCCGGTGGCAACAAATCTTTCTAAATTTGAGGGATCATAGAAATGAGATCAGTTCTCTTTTCACCTACATTGTGCAAATGGACCAAATGCTGTTTCAGACTATTAGGGGGGATCCAACTGCCAAGCAGATCATCCCATAAGTCCCTAATTCTGAAGATTCCCTCCTTACCTATCGATCCCCGAAGGTACCAGAAACTTTATTTGCTCTGAAACAGTTTCTCGTTTGGTCTCGGATGTGGGGGTTGTCAAGTAGAGGTTGATTGAGTACCTCTTCTTTGGTGACAGGCTAAGCCCATTCCGTGGGGGGTTTCACTTTTCTCCAGGCTCTGATATCTTCTGCCCAGAATCTGGAGTGGATCTTTCTGTTAACTAAGGAATCGAGTTGAATGCATAACCTGGCATCCTCCTCCCACAAGAGACCACATTCAGAAGCTAAACCCATTGCAACCCAATGCTCTGAGACCTCGTTGTTAGTGACCTTTACAATCCAATTAGCTAGTAGGAGACAGTTTCTTCGGTGCGGGTCTTCAATGCTAAGACCTCCCTCCTCCCGAGGTTGGGAGATCAATTCTCATGCAACCTTGAAGAGAAAGCCTTGATCTTGCTCGACTTTGGGTTTCCAAATAAATCTTGTTGAAAGCGTCTTGGTGATTGTCCAGAACGAAGGGGACAAGATGCGAATTGAGCCTACAAAGTTCAAGAGAGAGAGGAAAGACGAGTTTACTACCATTGCACGCCCGAATATGGATAAATGTGGCGTCGGTCCCCTGACTTTGATTTTAGCAATCAACCTGTTTTATAGGATTTCCTCCTGAGCATCGTGACACTGATGTAACGAGATCATCATGTCCAAAAACTGTTCCGCTTCCTTTTTATTTATGCGTTGCATCCCCCGATTTGTTTCTAGGGTCATATTCTGTGGTAGGAAGTAGACAAACTTCCGCCAATTTACTGCAACTTCTGAGAATAGTGAATACTCATCCAATAGAACGTTTAGAGCTTCTAACGAGTATGCAAAGTTCTCACATATGACAAACAGGTCATTTGCGGAACTGCGAGTTTTTTGGCCCTGCATTCTCTGTTCCCAAGTGCCAAAGCAACTATCTCATGTCTGCTCCGAATATTGCACAAGATTACCTCTAATTCAGTTACAAAGAGGAGAGGTGCTAATGGGCACCCCTGGCGCAGTGAACAGGTAAAAGGAAAGGGGTCTGATAGAATTGCATTCACCATAACAACCACTGTAGAGTGTGTATACAATACTATTATCCACCTACAAAAATTATCAACGAAGCCTATTTTCTTTAAGGTAGTGAGGACAAAACCTCAATTCACCCTACCGTAAGTTTTTTCCAAGTTGAACACTAAGATGGATAAAGGTCTCTTTTCCTTATCAATGATCTACAGGGTCTCTATTGTTGTCATTCAGTTATATTCCCGAAGATGGATCACCCTTATACAAAGATTGTTTGGTCATAGGCAACCATCTCGGGTAAGTCCCTAACTAGGCGTCTGGTGAGGGATTTAGCTAGTATTTTATAAGAGACATTTAATCTAGAAACAGGTCTTCAGTTTCGAATATTGTCTTGGTCACGTTTTTTTTATACAATAAAGTGATAATGTTATGGCGGACATGCTATGTGATAGAGCTCCGGCCATTAGCACATTATTATACATATTGAGCAGAGTGTGATCTCCATAATCGGACCAGAATTGGTCGAATAATTCCACAATTAATCCATCGGAATTTGAGGCCTTACCCTTGGTCATCGATTTGACTGCCAATTTGACGTCGACTTTAGTGAGGGGTCAATCAAGATATAAACGACCTGTTTATGAGAGTTTGACCTCTAGTGAGGTGCAAGGCCGTCAAGAGACAAAGCGTTTAAAACCCCAGGGAGACGACCTACCTACCGTTGCCACGTGAATTTCGCCTGTTTGCCTTGCAATCGAGGTCAAGGTCGGGGGCGAGATCAGGATCGAGGTCGAGCACGAGGTGGAGACCAGGGCCGAGGACGTAGAGGGTAGAATGATAGAGATACAATTCTAGCATAGACATGTTGTGAGTAGGACCTTGTAGGGGTAGTGTCAGTTATCTTCTATATACTATGTTCATGT